TTTTTTCGTCTGAATGCCATCCAACGGTATGAATATGTATACTAACTTCAACTATACATGAAGTATACATGCACAGCCTTGTCAACTCAAAATAAGCATCGAAAAAATAGCTGCCGGGCTATTTTTTCGTTGGTTGCATCCATCGTCTATCCGCTTTGCCGTGTTGGCATTGGCAGCCAAGGAGAAGCATTGCTTCACTAGAATCACGTGACAGTGCGCGATGGCAGATCCGAGCATCCAGGTCGTGGACGGCGTCATCCGCAAACTGCTAAGCGTACAGGACAAACCGACCCAAACCGAAGTCACAGACATCACCACGGACGAAGTGCTGCTGCTATGTCGTAAAATTCGCGCGGTAAGCACAGCTCTCTAGCTCCAACAAGGTCCTTATGCTATCCATTTGCTAAAATTGCGATTCGTTACAGATTTTCTTGGAACAACCACCACTTGCCGAGGTCCCAGCACCGATAAGCATTTGCGGGGATACTCACGGCCAGTACTCTGATCTGCTGCGGTTGTTTGAGATGGGCGGCTTCCCAGATGAACAACGGTATCTCTTCCTGGGGGACTACGTCGACCGTGCAATGCAGAGTATCGAGACGATCTGTCTGCTTTTTGCTTACAAGATCAAGTACCCAGAACAGCTCTATTTACTGCGAGGAAACCACGAGTGTGCTTCAATTAACCGTATTTACGGATTCTATGACGAGTGCAAACGCCGCTACTCTGTCAAGGTCTGGCGTACGTTCGGTGACTGCTTCAACTGCATGCCTATCTCAGCTGTAGTAGCAGGAAAGGTGAGAATTGTCACGTTAAGCCTACTACTTTCTACGAAGCTCTAACTGATATGGTATAGATTTTCTGTACGCACGGAGGACTTTCACCGGACCTGTATACACTGGATCAAATCAGAAACATCCGCCGCCCGACGGACGTACCCGATGAAGGTTTGCTGTGTGACCTGCTATGGGCAGACCCCGATCCAGATAGTCAGGGTTGGACCGAGAGTGATCGCGGTGTATCGTACATTTTCGGATCGGATGTAGTGGACCAGTTTCTGAAGACACATGATCTCGACCTTGTCTGCCGAGCGCACCAGGTCGTTTCAGACGGCTACGAATTCTTCGCTGGACGCAAACTTGTGACCATTTTCTCTGCGCCAAACTACTGCAACGAATTCGACAATGCCGGAGCGATGCTGGTCGTGGACGATAAACTTCGTTGCACCTTCAAAGTGCTCTCGTCCGGTGATAAGCGCAAACAATCTAAGAGGCTCTAAAGAATGAGGAGTAGAAGAGAGAATTGAACCAGAGCGCTAGATTCTAAACACATATTCAACTTGTCTTCATTGTCGCTTAACGACGCTGCAATATCTCGAGCCGTGTGAGTGGCGGTCGAGCTTGGCGCTCTTCAGGCTTCGGTTTAGACGCTTTAATCTCATCCTCAGCGTCTTCATCAACATCTTGAAGGAGAGCTGCTGCGGTTGAAAGTGACGCATTAGCTTCATGATAGCTGGCGCACACACTGTTCCGCTTTTGTGATAACATTGCAATGGCATCGGCTAAGCCATGATGCAGCGCTGATTCATTAGCTCGAGCTCGAAGCCTCACTATCTGTGAAGTTAGAGCGTTGGCCAGCGATCGGTAAGCGTCAGCACGATATTGCTGGTTTTCGTATTCCTCGCACAACCGGACTAGGACGTCACACTCTGACAAACGATGCTCGAGCACCTCGGTAGCCTCACTCTCGCTCTGTGGTTTGGAGATCGGGCTTTCGTACACACTAACGATATGTCGTTGAGCCAGAATCTGTTGATGGAGGTCACCCATTTCTTCAGCAAGTTCACGCTGCTTCATGAACACTTGCAGCGGGTTCATTGGTCCGGAGTCGGATTCTAAGCCTGCTGCTTCGATTGCTCCTGGTCCTTCCAACATCAGTAGTTCACGAAGAGCAGAACCCAAACCGGAGTAGGCCATGAGTTGCTCTCCGTTGAGATTTAGTATGGCGGACAGCTCGAGTACTTCTCGCCAAAGAGGAATTGCTTCCACATACCGCTGCGTGGCATTATAAACGATTGCCAAGTTTCGCAGTGCCCGGTGTTGAGCATGAAGATCTTCCTGTCGAAGAGCCAATGCGAGGTCTCGTTTGTGGGAATGCTCGGCGAAAGCGAACTTACCCTCCACGAGTTGTGTACACCCGATGTAGCTGAGTAATAGGCCTTGCAGCTTTGCAAAATCGGGGTCGATAGGAGGAAGAACGGTCTTTTCTTCTTCTACAACTTCTGTACTGGTTGCACCTTCAGTCTTTGTTTCAGAGTTCTGGTCTTCTTCCATGTCGATCCCTGTGAACTCTTCAAACTGACCCATAGCAATCGAAAACTCGGCTTCAGCTGTGTGAAACTCGCCCGCAAAGTATTCTTCTTCGCCACGACAACATTGTGTTAATACGCGAAGAATATTGTCGGGATCTGACAGAGCACTCATCAGATTTTCACTCTCCAGGAACAGATCCTTCGGAGTTTTTGCTGCTATTGGTGTTTCTGTTGCTTCGTCTTCGGGTGGACTTGGTTGTCGAATTTCTTCGGGGCTTTCTTCTTCCTCTTCATCGTCATTGATTTCCTGTTTCCCAGTCAGATTTCGACCCAGATACGACAACGCAAGACCGAGATGGTACTTGACAGTCGCTTGCTGTTCGAAGTCTTTCGACTGTTGCGTGGCACGATAGGCACTTGCAAAAAGACTGAATGCACGCTCCACTTCGTTTTGTTCAAGGCAATAGACACCGAGGTTATTGTGCGCGCGTGAGATTAGACGAGGGTCTCGTACTCTATCTGCAAGAGACACCGCCCGCTCAGCATACTTTAAAGCGCGTTCAAAGTCTCCTCGAGCCTTGTAAATACTCGCTAGTACTGCAACATCATCACGTTCATCAGTACAACTAGAACTATTTCCATGAATGCAGACGCACACATGAAGGCCGTGCTTCGAGCTCTTGTATCATCTTCGGACTCCTCACTCGGATCTTCTTCACCTTCGTTGATTACTAACTGAGCAGTATGCTCGGCATCTACGATGTTGCCTTTAGCATGGAGGAACAGAGCGTAGTTGGCTGTCAAAGACTTGTCCATCGGTGGACTGCTCGACTCCGATACGTCCTCGCCTCGACTACATTTCTTAGCCTGTAGTAGGAAATCCATGGCTTCGTGTAGTTTTCCAACTCGGAAATGCGTGACTGCCAACCAGTTGAGTGTATTCGTCCTCAAAGTCGCCATCTCTTCAGCCTCCTCGGCTACTTGTGGCCCAAGACTCGTCAAAACTTGCTGGAAGTACATACTCGCAAGGCTAAACTCGCTGTATTCTGCACACAACTCTCCGACCTGGAACTGTAACTTCAACACAAGTCGTGAGTTAAGTGCTGCACTCTTGGCCCCATTGGCTCCGTCCGAAAGCTGCGCTGCCAGTGCATCACGCAACTCTCGTGAACGGACTTCAAATTGTGCCTGGAACTGTTGTCGTCGTCGTCGGATACGAGCTCTCTCCATGAACGACGATAAATAAACTGCGACGGTTTGAAAGTGACTATTCATCGCTGTTATAGTTCAGGTCCTATGAATTGCGTATACGTTAGCTAGCGTTGCTCTTGTAAACGTTTGGCTTCTTTGGCGCGACTCAGCTTAGCGGCTCGCTCCGCGATCTCGACCTTCCGTTCGTAGTTCTTGACGTCCTGCTGCAGTTCGAACATTTTAGCCTTCTGCGCTACGTAGTCCAGAATCTGCGGCATATCTTTGCTAGGTTCTGCGGATTGCTGGATCTGTAAGGACTGCAGACGTCTCATGTCCTTCTTGTTCTTCTCCTCCACGAGCGCGATCTCCTCGACGATCTTCTCGTTCAGCTCGGTGCGTGTTCGGATCTCACCTTGGAGCCACGCGCTCTCCTCGAGCAGTTCATGCAGACGCTTCTTGAGATTATTTAGCACTTGTACAGTGCTTCCGGTAGTTTGCTTAAGACGCAGCAGCTCTTCATTGCGCTCCTCGATCTTAGCGACGTACTGCTTATTCTCGATCTGCAGCTGATGGAAGTCGATGTAGTGAAGCGCATCGCCCATCTCTTCCTTGTGACGGAGCTGGGCGTCGATCTTCTGAGCTTGGCTCTTGAGCGTAGCATTCTTAAGTCGAAGCTTCTCTACTACGGCATCCTTCTGGCGCAGCTTCTCCTCCATATAGCGGATCATCTTTTCAGCGATTGTCTTGCCGGTGCGAAAATTCTCGGCGCCCACGACGATGTCGCGCTTGAACTCGTACGCATCCTTCTTGAGCTCTGCAATGCGGATATCTGTCTCTTCCAGTACGGCTCGCAGTGTGTCAATGAGCCGCTCAGATGAGCGTTTGGTCTCCTCGAGCTCCTTCTGCGCCGCCTCGAGCTCCGTGCTGCAGATATCGTTCTTCTGCTCGATCGTGAGCATCACTTGCGTACGCACACGACGCTGTCTGGACCCGCCGATCTTCTTGTCTTTATCTGTATGTTTATCCTCGTCATCGCTTCCGGTTGTGGGCTGTCCGTTGCGATGGAGATATGACTCGAGGAGCTCATTCTCCTGTTTAAGCACGTCATTCTGGTGCGTCAAGTCGTCCAACTGCATAGAATATCAAGAATTAGCACTGCACTGCAACAAGTTGACACAATTCACCGTTATATCCGTCTACCTTGGCTTCCAACTCGTCCAGTTCGTCTTCGTTCATACTTAGGTTCTCCTGTATCAATAACTTCAACACTTTCGCGTCGTTTCGCGTTTTGTGTATTATCAAAAACAACTTGTATTTTCACTTAAATTACCAATACTTTTCATCGTCTCGTCTATAAATTACCACTATTGCAGCATCATGAAGCGCGCTCTGGTCATCCGCAATGTGTCAAGCCACGACGTGCCACTCGATAGTCTGGACAATGCATGCGTACAGGCCTGTTGCCATGAAGGATTTATCACGGAGCTGGCGGTGAATGACGAGCAGGACGTCATGCACCAGCTCATGCAGACGCACGCGCGTTCCAGCGCCAGCAACGACAGGCGCTTATCTTACCAGCAGGCGCCTCCCATGCGCGCACACGCAGCCTCGGCCTACACGCCTTCCGCCCCCTTCGACGTAGTACTGTTCCGGGCGTCGGGGCTCTCAGAGCACCGTCTGTACCCAATATTGCGTATGATCCGCACCATCAGTAAGCAGATCTTTCTGTGTGTCTTCAGTCCGCAGCTCGCAGAGCATCCAATGGGCCGCTACCAGTGCTTCCAAGAAGGAGCATCCATGGTCACGGACTCTCTAAACGCAGTACGGGACGTATTGGCCTTCATCGGACAGGAACACGGCTACAATTCCCACTCGAGACAGAAATCCAGAGGCAGATCTGGCGGCCGCGACGGCTTCACGTGTCCATTCTGTGGGAAGAATGGCATGGACGAAGACCAGCTCTGGAGACACTGTCCAATGTACCATATCAACGAGAAGAACACGGACGGGATCAACTGTCCCATTTGTCGAGAGACCCCGAGAGGGCCGTTCCAGGTTCATATGCACAATGCTCACGGACCTCCTGGCCGACGCGAAATGGTGAGCGAGTTTCACATGGCCGACACGACGCTCTACTCGTTCGCACTCGTCGTGTGTCATAATAGAAAGTACAACAGCTTCTTACTTGTGCAGGAATTCGCCAACTCTGGCTTCTGGTTACCGGGCGGACGCATCGATAGCGGCGAGAACCCGGCACAGGCGGCGATCCGAGAGACGAAAGAAGAGGCTGGAATCGATATACGTCTTACGGGGGTACTGAAACTCGAGTACCATCCTAAACAAGACCGTAATGGCAGTGAGTACGTTCGAATGCGCTTCATATTCTACGCCGAGCCGCTGGACTGCGACCAGCCGCCCAAGTCCATTCCAGACTATGAAAGCGCCGGAGCCACGTGGTGTCGAGCTGATCAAGTCGCGTCATTGCCGCTCCGTGGATCGGAACCCGTCACATATTTCAACCACGTCGCGTCAGGCAAGCCGATCTACCCGCTCGAGCTAATTCACATGTCGTCTTCAAATTAGACACTAAAGTTAAGGCTGATACACGTCGCGGTTATCCAGTCGAAGGAACTTGACAATTGCGCCGACAAGAGTGAGCGCGGGAAGTGCACCGTTATGTTTTCGCTGTTACAGCAGCCAGGTTTTGTCAGCAACGATCCCGAATAGAGGATAAATACCAATGGGGTGAGCCCATACCTGATAATTCTCGGTCTTGAGACGTTCGTACAGACGTTTGTGTAGCTGAAGCCAGTGACTGTCACCGAGTGTGGCTTTCTGCATGCGGTCCTGGAGACGGAAGCAAGGGAACAGGAGCATTGGGAAGCGCTTGTTCAAGCTCTTGAACTCTTCGAAGTCGATGACACCATCTTTGTTTCTGTCAAACTCGGTCAGGGCGTTGTTGATGTTGCCTGAGAATCTGGACTGGCCGTCGTTCACGATACTGACGAGACGACGTAGCTCCTTGTCGCCAATGGAACCAGAGGCGGCGGGGTCGAAGGTATCGAAAGCGACTGACGCCACAAGTCGAGAGGTTAGTAAAACGCTCCCAGCTACTTTTTTACAGTGACTTTTGACGTACAACGGAGGATTTCATCGCGTGTGTACATGCAGTACAACACAGTAGCGTGGACGAACTCTTCAAAATCAATCTACAGCAGAAGCGTAAGCAGAGTGGCAACAAGCACGAGCCTCCAATATCTATTCTGCTCACCGTTCCGTTGCTATCGGAATCAATCATGCGAAAAAGCCCTTCAGAAAACGGCGTCTTGGTTTCATCGATAAAGTCGAAAAACTCATCGTAGTCGATGACACCACTCGCGCTACAGGACAACAAGAACAAAGCATTAAAATGATATCCTTCCTACAGATCAACGCTGTTTGTTAGTCGCACGTACTCGAGATCGATCTGTCTGAAGCAAGCTTTGAACTTCTTCAGCTCGTGTTGCCCCACTGCACGCCAAAAAAAATAGATAAGCGAATATACATCCAAAGAGGTTGAATGCATTGACTTACGCTGATATTTCACGACGACGGCGATGGTAGCTGGGCGGCTAAGAACGATGTCTCCTGCATGACGCCGTCTTGTACGCGAACGTTTATCTTTTTGTAATGACGGTTTGCTTTCTCCTTGCGACTCAGAGGTTTTAGTCACCGTTGGCAGCGAATCTCCAATTTCAGTGGACCATCCGTTCTTTCGCTTCTTCTTTTTATCTCCAAGTTTGTTGCCTTGTATTCCAGAGTTTTCAGCACCCGTTGATTGCATGCCCTGTAAGCTGCCGGTATTGCGCTCTAGTCGCGGGAGATCTCCCTTCTGCTCTGCACCCTTGCCAGCTCCGCCTGTAATGTCCAATACACTGAGACTACTGCTTTTCCGCTTGAGCATTGGCGGCCGCTTGACTGGTGGCAGTCCAAGCTTGCCCTCTGAGTGCGATGACATGCGCTTCGACGCCATTAGAACAGAGCAGTTCCAATCTCAACTGCAGTCACGTTCGTATCAGCTCTGCCACAGTACAAATCTGCCATCGTCCTAGTACTTTGCCCACTCTAATTCGGGGATAAGAGCTCAAGGGGGGACATCAGTAATAATATAATCACAAAACAATGGGAGAAAGAATTACCAGAACATGAAATATGCATAGACTTCAATTGTCAGCTTGAGACTATTTCGAGCTCCGATAGACGGAACGTACCAGCGGGGCATGTCCAACATTCTGTTCTACCGGGAGAAGACACTGTCGTAGTGAGGACGGAACGCACTTGTTGGTGACGATTCTCCAGACTCGGCAGCTTCAGTGGAGCCGGCGCTCGTCTCTGGCTTCGGTTTCTTCGGTGTTTTGCTCCTCTTCGAGTCACCTTCATCGGTGGTAGCTTTCCCGGATTTCTTCCCAGCCTCCTTGTCAGTCTTCTTCGACTTGGCGGCCTCTCTCTTGCCCTTCCTGGACTCCGACGTGGGGGAGGTCAATTGTTCAACTTCAGGTTGGCTTTTTCCAGTAGCATCCAGAGATCGACGTTTGCGCTTTCGCGACAAGTCCTCCTTTTGGAGGCACAATGCACTGGTAATACTGTTGTTGGTGAACGGCGCGGCTGGAACCCGCACGAGAGCATTTTCGTCCTTCGGATCAAACGAATCCACATCGAAAGCAGGACTTCTCGGACACTCGTTGTTCCAGCAGTGACCGTCCACATCCTGATAACGAGAATAAAATAACCACAACATATTAGACATAGCACAAACCAACAACACAAATACCATCTTACCTCTTTCTCCACGCCACAAATCTCGCACTGAGGAACCGCAACAAGATCAACCACCGAGGGATCGCTTTTATCCCAGAACCCGTTCTCCAGGTAATTCAAGTTCAGTCGAGCTTCCCACTCAATGAGGTTGGGGCGCTTCTTGAGCTTTTCACGTCGACGCATGGCAAACCGCTTTACCAGGTCCTGGAACGCAATGTAACGTGACGGCGTCGTACCCATTAGCACCACATCCTCTCCAAGACCAAGTTTCTCTCGAGCCTTGGCATTATTGCGATTGCGGCTGTTCTGTCGAGCAGTTTTCGCGTGGCCGTCAGCTGCAAGTTGAAGGTCCTTCTTCTTGAACACTTGCAGCACCTTGGTGGTCTGGATTTCCACAGTACAAGTATCACGATCTGCCCTCTTGACAATACCGAAGCCCTTGCGATTCGGCAGATTCACCTTCTTCTCGATCCACGAGATGCCGTAGTTTCCACGAGTTGACACACGACGCGAGCGTTTGCCGTTGTCTTCGCCTTGAGAGTCATCACTCTGTTCTGCAGCCAACAAGTCGTCCGTACCGCTCTGACTAGCTTCATCTTCGTCATCCTCGTCGTCCCCATCGTCTGCGTTAGTCCCGTTGGCTCGGCTCTCTGCGCGACGTTTTCGCTCCTTCTCGAGACTCTTAGCATGCAGTTTCTTAATAGTCTCCATATCCTCAAGAAGAGTGAGTTCGTATGCACGCTTGGCAGTGTTCTCGCTCGAATTTTCGAGCTTCAGCTGCACCCAGCCGTTCCCCGAGCGTAGTACGCGACCATGCTGGCCTTTGAACTTGCCGACATTGATGCGGCACTTACGGTCGATCCACATATCCGGGTCCAGCGTGGACAGTAGCTTTCCCTTGCCGCGTCGCTTCTTATACGTCACAACAGGCTTCTTCTCTTCTTCGACCTGCTCTTCTTCTTCCTCCTCCTCGTCTTCCTGCTCATCTGGGACTATCACTAGGTGCTTCTGACGCAGCGTTAATGTGATGTCTTCTTCTCCATCCAGCTGCACATTGACTTTCCTCTTCTCATGTCCAGTGACCACGCCCTCTTTACCGTCATAGTTCTTCAGATAGCGCTTCTCCGCAGCATTTAGAGCATCCAGCTTCACGGCCACTCTGGTCCCAGGCTCCAGACGGTCATCTTCGTTCTCTTCTTTGTGTTCTTCTTCCTCTTCATCTTCTGCGTCGTCATTATGACCGATATCTTCCTGATGCACCACAGGAGAGACCCCAGGACTGCTGACGTCGTCTCCGTCCTCCAGAACTTCGAGCGCCGATGGCCTGTACTTGTAGACTACGTCTCCGTCTCGGATACGCACCTTGAACCACGTGTTGGGATGCATCGGGGCCTCCTCCACCACGCCCACCTTGTGCAATGTGTGGGGTACACGCTGCTCCACGTCAGGCGTCTTCAGTATACGCACAAGCGTTCCCTTCTCCAGTGTATGTAATTCCCGTGCGGTGGGTGAGATACGATACGCGGCATCGATGGCGTCTAGCTCCGCCTCGTCGGCCTCGTCAACGGGCTCGTCTTCTTCTTCTTCGATCTCTTCCTCCTCCTCTTCCTCCTCCTCCTCTTCTTCGTCGGCTGACGATCCACCGTCATGTAACGGATTAGACAGCTCGCGTCTCGACGGTTTGGCTACTGAGCGTGCAGAGCGAGACGCGCCGCGCCGCGGGCGCTCTTCAGCAACAGCTTCCTCCATGCTGTGCTCGGTTTGGCAACTAAAGTGTGAAGTGGCTGACCACGTATTTATGTGTGCCACATACTGAAAGAAGATATTTGCTTAAGTAAGCCAAAAGTATAATATTAAAATTTTTGATTAATAGGGGGGGTCGAACCTTCAAAAATAATCCAAATTTGTGAGCATAACCGTGTCGTGATTGTGATGTGGTTGTTGATCGAAATTTGAGCACAAAAAAGGAAAGGGGGAGTCGATCTAGAGCACATATCTCGTACTTAACGATACGATATTCCCCCCCTTTTCAGTTGTTGACGGTCACCATGCCGTAAGCTAAGCGAACGCCAGCAGTTTCTGCGAGAGATCACGGGGCTGCTTACTGTATTTGCGCTAGAGGAAGAAGATGAAGATGATGCTGAAGCTGTAACTACGTCAAAGCCTTAAACGCGTCGATCTTTTTTACTTTCGGTTTGCCACTGATCTTGGTCTTATCGCTCGAGCCGTGGATGGCGGCAAAATTGTCAGCGACCTCCATCCAAGTCACAATGATCCCGTAGTCGTCTTGCGCAAGATGGACATTTCGATTCAATCCATCCTCTAACTCGACCATCCTGCCACTATCGATACCATTCGCAAACAAAATAGGTCAGATAAGCATCGTAGACAGGTTTGAGTGGTAAGCGTACCTGAGTATCACAAAATGTGGTGGTCGCCCTCGCCACGATGCCA